CTTGATCAGCGCCACTCCTCTAATTATGAAAGGAAAGCGTTCGTCGGCGTAGAAAAAGGTGAGGACCCCTGCACGAGAAGGACTGCATCCATATGATGAGATCTAGACTGTTGTTCCTTTGACAAGTATCTTTCCATTTAGAAGTGACATTTATTCTGCGATTTTGCGACAGCTTAGCCCAACATTTCAGCGTAAAGACAAACCCCGCGGTTGAATATTGTGGATGATGGGGTTAAATTACGAACCTATGCTCGCTAAATGCTTCTTTCGGGAAAAAAGCAAAAAAAGAAACATTATGGGGAACATTCTAAGTGAGGATCTGGCAGCCACTCTGTGGGAGCTCTCCGGACGTGATCATTTCATGTCAGCAAAGCGATATCCTGCCACCCATTGGCTTACCAATCGTTTCTTCGCGGCCATCGAATGCTCACACCATTCAACAGGAGAAAACGAGAAACATTGACTAAAGATTGAACTTGTGACGAAAACAGCCTTTGATTTGCTGTGGGCGGGACAACTAGGAGGCGTCAGAACTGCCACTTTTGAGGGCCATAGGGTTTGGTTACTTACTGTGAATCCACGAAAAGGGATGAAGTACTGAAATAGAGACTGAGGATCGGACTACTCGTACAAGGACACCTATTAACTGGCTGAGCGCGGAAACTGCCTCCAATGTCCACTGGTTGCTTCACCTTCTTAGTTCATCATAACTTCTGCTGTGGGAACGCTTGAATTTCAATTTAATTTCAATTCAGGTGGCTTCTTCACCATTTTGACTTTCTTAATCGATGTCCACTTTCCTAGAGGCTTTGCAGTAAGAAGGCCAGTATTACCCCTTTTTGTAATGCTGCAGGAAATAGCTTGAAAGCCTGACGAAAACTAAAACAAGTCTTCCCATTCAGACTTGGTGACATCATTTTGCATTCTGATGATTTCCTGAACTAAGCGCTAATTCCGCACTTCAAACTGAATAGACGCCGATGCAAGAAAGAAACTAAGCAAAAATTATACTGTATAACAAATTACAAGTGAAAAAAGATGTATAAAACTCACAAGGGCTATTTCTTAGACGAAAACAAGTTCACGAAATGTTGGCTGTAGAGTTGTTGCCCAAAAGGAATCAGCATGAAGTGAGTGAATTTGAAATGCTTCCGGTCAAACGCGGCTAAAACTTGTCAGTGCCAGTTAAGACTCGCTTTTACTCGTTGCCCACTTGTAAAGCTCTTTTTTAACAGGTATTGTCGTGTGACGCTTTCAAGAAGCATTCGAATTTTTTTATTTTCACATTTTTCAAATGGTTTTTTCTAGTTTCTCTTCATTTCCGGATATTATTTCCATTTTTCGGTCTCCTTCAGTAGGGCACGTCATAAGTTGGGGAATTCTCAGCGCGAAGAGAAGAGGGGGAGGGGGCTGGAGTCAGAATGGGGAATGGGGAATGTACTGGGAATGTATTTCGCCTGGCCAAATATTTTTTTGGTTGTTGATTTCTCTTTTTGATGCGCTATGTAGCCCCTCCTCATAGGCATCCTGGCAATTTTATTATATTTATCTATCGCCATCCCCTCCCTCCCCAGCGTGATCAGAGGAGAAGGCTTGTTTCACCCAGTGCTTGAGGAACTTTTGTGGAAATGGGTAGCGCTTCAGAAAACGTACCTCTCCCCTCTGCTCCGTCACTGATGATAGTTTTTCTGACAGTAAGCATTAACGAGCAGAAGGGAATCTCCGACAGAGCACATGGTTTAGAAAAATAGGTCTTCCGATGCCATTGTTTCTCCATGACAGTGACCCTTTAACGCAAAAACATTATTTTTGCGTATCCCCTTGCCTCGCCCTGCTTACGGTTTCCCAGAGCAATCCATCAATGTGAAAGGTACTCAGCAAGTCAAATAGGACCCCCTTCCACATGACTCAAAAG